CTCCATATTTTTCCAATTGCAAATTTTGCTGCTATAAACGTATGTGCAAGTATCTTTTTCGTAAATGATTTCTCCTCTTCTGGGTTGATACCCACTAGGGGGGATTACTGGATCAAATGGTAGCTCTGCTTTTAGTTTTTTAAGGAATCCGCATACTGTTTTCCATAGTGATTGTACTAGTTTACATTCCTACCAGCAGTGTAAAAGTGTTCCCTTTTCACCAAATCCCTGCCAACATCTATGATTTTTTTTATGTTTTGATTATGGTCATTCTTGCAGGAATAAGGTGGTATTGCATTGTAGTTTTGATTTGGAATTCCATGATGGTTAGTGATGTTGAGCATTTTTCTCATATGCTTCTGGCCATTTGTATATCTTCTTTTGAGAATGCCTATTCACGTCCTTAAGCTACTCTTTGATGGGATTATGTGGGTTTTTTTCTTGCCAATTTTGTTTGAGTTCTTTGTAGACTCTGTTTATTGTCCTTTGTCAAATGTATAGATTGTAAAGATTTTCTCCAACTCTGTGGGTTGTCTGTTTACTCTGCTGATTATTTCTTTTGCTATGTGGAAGCTTTTTAGTTGAATTATGTCCCATCTATTTATCATGGTTATTGTTGCATTTGCTTTTGGGTTCCTGGTCATGAAGTCTTTGCCTAAGCCAATATCTAGGAGGGTTTCTCTAATGTTACCATCTAGAATTTTTATAATTTCAGAACTCACATTTAAGCCTTTGATCCATCTTGAGTTGATTTTTGTATAAGATGAGAGAAGAGGATCCAGTTTCATTCTTCTACATGTGGCTTGCCAAGTATTCCAATACCATTTGTTGAATTGGGTGTCCTTTCTTCACTTTATGCTTTTGTTTGCTTTGTCGAAGATCAGTTGACAGTAAGTATTTGGCTTTATTTCTGGGTTCTCTATTTTGTTGCATTGGTCTATACATATGCTTTTGTACCAGTACCATGCTGTTTTGGTGACTAAGGCCTTACAGCATAATTTCAAGTCAGGTAATGTAATGAATGCCTCCAGGTTTGTCCTTTTTGCTTAGTCTTGGTTTGGCTGTATGGCTCTCTTTTGGTTCCATATGAATTTTAGGATTGTTTTTTGTAGTTCTGTGAAGAGTGATGGTATTTTAATGGGAATTACATTGAATTTGTAGATTGTTTTTGTCAGTATGGTTATTTTCACAATATTGATTCTACCCATCCATGAGCAAGGAATATGTTTCCATTTGTTTGTGTCATCTATGGTTTATTTCAGCAGCATTTTGTAGTTTTCCTTGTAGAGGTCTTTCACCTTTTCAATTAGGTATATTTCTAAGTATTTTATTTATTTATTTATTTATTTTTTGCTGCTATTGTAGAAGAGGTTGGGTTCTTGATTTGATCTTCAGCTTGGTCACTGTTGGTTTATAGCAGAGCTACTGATTTGTGTTCATTGGTTTTGTATCCTGAAACTTTGCTGAATTCATTTATCAGTTCTAGGAGCTTTTTGGAGGAGTTTTTAGGGTTTTCTAGGTATATGATCATATCATCAGCAAACAGTGACAGTGTGATTTCCTCTTTACTGATTAAGATGCCCTTTATTTCTTTTTCTTGTTTGATTGCTCGGGCTAGGACTTCCAGTACTATGTTGAATAGATGTGGGGAGAGTGGGCATCCTTGTCTTGTTCTAGTTCTCAGGGGGAATGCTTTCAACTTTTTCCCATTCAGTATTATGTTGGCTGTGGGTTTGTCATAGATACCTTTTATTACATTAAGCTATGTCTCTTGTATGCCAGTTTTGTGGAGGGTTTTAATCATAAAAGGATGCTGGATTTTGTCAAATGCTTTTTCTGTGGCTGTTGAGATGATCATGTGATTTTTGTTTTTAATTCTGTTTATTTGATCACATTTATTGACTTGGTATGTTAAGCTGTCCCTGCATCCCTGGTATAGAACTCACTTGATCATGATGGAAGGATTTAGGGAGGATTCCGTCTTTCTCTGTCCAATGGAATAGTGTTAATAGGATTGGTACCAATTCTTCTTTGAATGTCTGACAGAATTCAGCTGTGAATCCATCAGGTTATGGACTTTTTTTTGGTGGCAATTTTTTTATTACCATTTCAATCTTGTTGCTTGTTATTGGTCTGTTCAGAGTATCTATTTCTTCCTTGTTTAATCTAGGAAGGTTGTAGAATTCCAGGAATTTGTCATCTCCTCTAGGTTTTCTAGTTTATGCACATAAAGGTGTTCATAGTAGCCATGAATAATCTTTTGTATATCTGTGGTATTGATCCTAATATCTCCCATTTGTTTCTAATTGAGCTTATTTGGATATTCTTTCTTCTTTGGTTGGTTAATCTTGCTAATAGTCTATCAATGTTATTTATCTTTTCAAAGAACCAGCTTTTTGTTCTGTTTATATTTTGTATTTTTTTGTTTCAATTTCATTTAGTTCTGCTCTGATCTTAGTTATTTCTTTTCTTCTGCTGGGTTTGGGTTTGTTCATTTTTCTCTAGTTCCTTAAGGTGTGACCTTAGATTGTCTGTGCTTTTTCAAACTTTTTAATGTAAGCATTTAAGACTATGGACTTTCCTCTTAGCACTGCCTTTGCTGTGTCCCAGAGGTTTTGATAGGTTGTATCACTATTATTGTTCAGTTCAAAGAATGTTTTAATTTCCGTCTGGATTTCATTGTTGACCCAGAGAACATTCATGAGCAGGCTATTTAATTTCCATGTATTGGCATGGTTTTGAGGGTTCCTTTTGGAGTTGATTTCCAATTTTATTCCACTGTGGTCTGAAAGAGTACTTGACATAATTTTAATTTTCTTAAATTTGTTGAGACTTGTTTTGTGGCCTATCATATGGTTTGTCTTGGAGAATGTACCATGTGGTGATGAATAAAATGAGTATTCTGTAGTTTTGAGGTAGAATATTCTGTAAATATTTGTTAAGTCCATTGGTTCCAGGGTATAGTTTTAATCCATTGTTTTATTGTTGTTGCTCTTGTTGACTTTCTGTCTTGATGACCTGTCTAGTGATGTCAGTAGAGTATTGAAATCCTCCACTATTACTACATTGCTATCTCATGTCTTAGGTCTAGTAGTACTTGTTTTATAAATTTGGGAGCTCCAGTATTAGGTGCATATATATGTAGGACTGTGATATTTTCCTGTTGGACCAGTCCTTTTATCATTATATAATATCTCTCTTTATCTTTTTTAACTGGTGTTGCTTTAAAGTTTGTTTTTTCTGATATAAGAATAACTACTCCTGCTAGCTTTTGGTGTCCATTTGCATGGAATATCCTTTTCCACCTTTTTTCCGTAAGTTTATGTGAGTCCTTATGTGTCAGGTGAGTCTTTGAAGACAGCAGATACTTGGTTGGTGAATTCATATCCATTCTGCCATTCTGTATTTTTTAAGTGGAGCATTTAGCCCATTTACATTCAATAATGCAAGGCACTATTCTATTCATCATGCTATTTGTTGCCTGAACACCTTGTTTTCTTTTTTTTAATTGTATTTTGATTTTATAGGTCCTGTGAGATTTATGCTTTAAGGAGGTTCTGCTTTGATATATTTCAAGGATTTGTATCAAGATTTAGAGTTCCTTTTAGCAGTTCTTGTAGTGTTGGCTTGGTCGTGGTGAATTTTCTTGTCACCTGTTTGTCTGAAAAAGACTATCTTTCCTTCATTTATGAAGCTTAGTTTTGCTGGATACAAAATTCTTGGCTAATAATTGTTTTGTTTAAGGAGGCTGAAGATAGGACCCTACCCCTTTTAGCTTGTAGAGTTTCTGCTGAGAAATCTGCTGTTAATCTGATAGGTTTTACTTTATAGGTTACCTGGTCCTTTTGCCTCACAGCTCTTAAGATTTCTTCCTTCATATTAACTTTAGATAACCTGATGTCTGTGCCTAAGTGATGATCTTTTTGTGATAAATTTCCCAGGTATTCTTTGAGCTTTTTATATTTGGATGTCTAGATCTGCAGCAAGGCTGGGAAAGTTTTCCTTGCTTATTCCCTCAAGTATGTTTTCCAAACTTTTAGATTTCTCTTCTTTCTCGAGAACACCAATTATTCTTAGGTTTGGTCATTGAACATAATCCCAAACTTCTTGGAGACTTTGTTCATTTTAAAAAAATTCTTTTGTCTTTGTTTTTGTCAGATTGGATTAATTGTTCATAGTAGCCATGAAAACCTTGTCTTCAAGCTCTGAAATTCTTTCTTCTGCTTGTTCAATTCTATTGCTGAGACTTTCTGGTGCATTTTGCATTTCTTTAAGTGTCTTCTTTATTTCCAGAAGTTGTGATTGTTTTTTATTTATACTATCTATTTCACTGCAGATTTTTCCCTTCATATCTTATATCATTTAAAAAATTTCATTAAGTTGGACTTCACCTTTCTCTGGTGCTTCCTTGATTAGCTTAATGTGGACTTTCTGAATTCTTTTTCTGGCAATTCAGGGATTTCTTCTTGGTTTGGATCTACTGCTGGTGAGCTAATATGATCTTTTAGGGGTGTTAAAGAACCTTATTTTGTTATATTACCAGATTTTTTTTTCTGGTTCCTTCTCATTTGGGTAGACTATGTCACAGGGAAGATCTGGGCCTCAGGGGCTGCTGTTCAGATTCTTTTGTCCCATGGGATGCTCCCTTGATGTCATGCTCACACCGTTTACCTAGGGATGTGGCTTCCTGAGAGCCAAACTGTAGTGATTGTTATTTCTGTTCTGGATATAGCCACCCAGTGGAGCTACCAAGCTCTGTACTGGTACTGGGGGCCGACAGGGGGAGTGTCTGCACAGAGTCCTGTGACGTCAACCATCTTCGGATCTCTCAATCAGGGATAGCAGCACCTGCTATGGTGGAGGTGGCAGGGGAGTGAAATGGATTCTGTGAGGGTCTTTAATTATAGTTTTGTTTATTGCACTAGTTGTGTGCTGGTTGATCTCTTGACAGAGGGTGGCGCTTTCAACAGAGTAAGGAAACTTTCTCTCTCTTTTTTTTTTGGTATAAATTATTTTATTTATTATTGTAATTAGATCTTCACAAAGTTGTCTTTTGACTGTTTTGTTAATGTGAAATTAAATTGTAGTTATAAAGCAAAAGTTGGTTGCCTAGGGAACAATCGTATATTCAGTTTAACAAAATAAAAGAATATTTGTCTTAAAACACAAGATTTTGTTTGTTGCATAGGCTTTTGCCATGCAATCACATTATAAAAATGTTCATTTCTAAAGTGAAAATTTCTTGTGCTGTTTGAGCTTTAAGGGTTGGAATGTTTAGGTGCAACGTCAGCTCTTTAAAAAGCAAAGTGATCCAAGATATGTCTCCCTTGCAAGAGGGAATTTTACATTTACAATTAACATGAAAATCATGTATCAGACTTCTGCAGGAGATTCTTCAGCGTACCTTATCCAAAAATTACTCACTATCCTAATGTATCATTTTGAAGAGTCCTGGTAAGTACTTCCCCTTGGCAGCCTCACCTTCCCACATCATGGAAGTACAGGTTTGCACATATACACAACATGATGATAGAAAATATGATATAGTAAATTAGCTTTCTAAACTTCGGTTCTAAGTCTCCTTGTCGATACCAGTAGATAAGTATGCAGGCAGTAATGCTACTCAAAGAGATGCAGACAGCAAAAAATATATTCAGCGGTTTCGGAGGTAGTTGAGGGAAAACAAAAGCACTGATCAGCGTTACTAGAATCAGTAAGGATGTTAAACTGCCAACAACTAAATTGATGATTCGATCCTTGGTGGACGTCTCCCCGAATAGAGGTCTGTTGTCCAGGCCACTGGTGCCATAGGTCCTGGTAGCAAAGTCCTCCATTTTGGGGTTTCTCATCATGTCTTTTTTTTGTGTGTGTATCAGTTATCTCATCCTGATAAAGCGTGAAGCAAGTTGGAATTCGTCCAAACCACACATCTCGAAGCACATCTTTGTCATCTGTCATTCTTCCAGTGGTTAAAGCAGTACATACAGGCTAAATTCTTTTTTCAACAAAAGCCAAACTGAAGCGACGGCTCCTCCTTCCGGCTCCCTGCACTGGTGGGGATGCCTGGATCCTGGGCTCTGGTGGGGCAGCCGGGCAGGTTGCCCTCCTGACACACTGTCCTGCGGTATGCGGCAGCAGAACCTTTTTTTTTGTAGGAAAAAATGGTTTTGTACATGGGATGAAACAATATAAATTCAAAACTTACAGATAAGGGTTAGCTCTATCACTCAACTCTTTAATTGAAAAGTTTATATGAATATCCAGTCAAAACCAACAAGATATTGCCCTTGAAATGTTATCTATACATTTCCAAGGAGACCACAGGACTGTATACTGTCTTGGAATGTCCTCAGAAGGCTCTGTCATGGAAGGTCCCCTTCCACCAAATCTTGGGAATAGTAGTGATATCCCTCCACCCAACACAAATATGGGCACCTGTTTTTCTTCATATAGAACAGGGGCTTCTGGTCTGGTCATATCCCTAGAGACTTACGAGAGACTAGCTGACCATTTAAAAAATAATCATCTGAGTTGTTCAGCCATTCAGCTCCCCTTTAAAAATCAAAGATATCTCCAAGCAACGCATCTCTCTTCCAGTTGTCTTGAACCAGGTGGGCAGCTGTTTCAGGGGTTTTCTCTTGCCCAATCCCCACTAAGAAAGTTCTGAGAGCATGCACGGTCTCTGTGTGGTGTGACTGAAGGGAAGCTCAGGGCAGAGGCCTTGGACCTCACAGGGCTAAAGGACACATGGTCACAGTTTTCTGACTTAGGCTATAAAGGCTTGAGTTGGTTTTCCTTTTTACTGGACCCTCTTGGCCCAAATGACAATGACTGTAAGGACAGGTAAACCTCCTCACAGGGCCCAGGGCATGTTGATTGAAGTTAACCTGGCTTTAAAAAAAAAAAACAAAAAACAAAAAAAAAAAACAAACTTTCTGTGAGAAAATACTTTTTTCTTCCCAAGACCAGCTAGGAGATCTGTTGATGTGTATTATGGTAGCACTAATTGAGGTCCAGTGACAGGAAAGGGAATTAAAGATCTTGAAACAGAATTTCTTTCTTTCTTTTTTTTTTTGAGACAGAGTTTCGCTCTTGTTACCCAGGCTGGAGTGCAATGGTGCGATCTCGGCTCACTGCAACCTCCGCCTCCTGGGTTCAGGCAATTCTCCTGCCTTAGCCTCCTGAGTAGCTGGGATTACAGGCACGCGCCACCATGCCCAGCTAATTTTTTTTTGTAGTTTTAGTAGAGACGGGGTTTCATCATGTTGACCAGGATGGTCTTGATCTCTTGACCTCATGATCCACCCGCCTCGGCCTCCCAAAGTGCTGGGATTACAGGCATGAGCCACCGCGCCCGGCCTTGAAACAGAGTTTCTTTGAGAAAAGCATGAGTCAAGGTGGGAGACTCAAACTCAAGGGATGGACCTAAGAATTCAAAGTGTGATGTTGTTCCAATACAACTGATGCTAGAAAGTTCTCTCATTTCAGCCACGGTAGCACAGTGGCTGTGTGTGAGGACCACTAGCTGACCATGAGAGTATGAAATAAAATAAACTGCTGTCCCAACATTCAACTTGAGTCTTCTGTTGTGGCTTTTCTTGGGACCTGGACCAAAAAAGGCATCCTGGGATCTACTAATCCCAGGATTAGCAGATCAGATGGTGTAGGATCACTCACAGCATGCACAGTGTGGAAGAGAGAAGCAACAGCAGCATTGAACTTATTGAGTACCTGCTTGGACACAGGACTGAGCTCTCATCAGACTAAGTAAGACCTTGTGCTTCAAGCATATTGTACATGGGGGCACATGCCATGTGCAGGGAGGAGGATCTCATGAAGACAATGAGACTTCCGGTTAGGCAGCTTGGATCATGTGACTCGTCTGACATTTAAATAAATACTTTAAACTTCTTTAGTGATATATTGCCTTCTAGTGTGATAGACTGGTTGTTGAACAAAGGATGTTTTAAGGCAGGATATGCAATGATGTGAAGTCACAATCTTATCGACTCTTTACTATTTTTTTAAATCAGTATTTCCCACCACCCTTTATATTTTTTCATTCTGGTAGCTATGAATTCTTTTTCATATTTACTGCTCACTGAATAGTGGTACCACAGAAATACAAAGAGAAAGAAATTCTCAGCTTTTGAAGTTACAGAGCTGACTTCCCTAGTCCATAGCAGAAGGAATTACCTTGAGAAAAAATACTTTTTGAGATCCAGATCCTGGTGGGTTTTGGAGAATGAAGTAAAGTGCAATCTACTGAATGTGAGGCATTAAGAGATACAGTAGGTATAATAAAAATTATACATGAAGATCCTTAAATTCCAGGAAATAAACATTAGTAAGGTCAAAATTAAAGAAGGAATTTGGTCTCTTCTCTTTGCATTTATTTGCATTAATGCATAAATGCTGAAGTCTCTAAAGCAGTTGTAATTGCTGCTTTAGAAAGTCTTGGAATGCTCAGTTGAAGAAATGGAAACTGATAAAACTGTGGATATTAGAAATCTAGTGGGATGGGATAAGAATGTGGGTATCAGAAAAGTGATACCAGAAGGGCATGGGATAAAAAAATCTGACAGTTCCCTCTGATGTCATTCTAGATAGTTGCTTGATTCAGTTTGTTACCACCAGCATCCAAAGAAGAATCTAAGTTCATTTGTGAAGTAAGTGAAAACATTCACATCCTATAGACTGACAATAGCATACAAGTTATAATTGTGTTGAGTTCATGGATACCTCACAGATCCTCAGACATTTATGTCACCAAATTCTAATGTAAACTGATGAATCCCACCTGGTCTTAAAACGTTTCCACATGGAATTAAGTACTCAAATTCAGGGGGACATCCATGGAGCAATGAAGAAGAAAGAGGAGGGTATTGACCAAGCAGGTGAGCAGATGAGCAGAACCAACTTGGATGATCAGAGTTCATAGCCAGGTGTGATAGTTAATACCGAGTGTCAACTGATTGGATTGAAGGATGCAAAATATTGGTCCTGGATGTGTCTGTGAGCGGGTTGCCAAAGGAGATTAACATTTGAGTCAGTGGGTTGGGAAAGTCAGACCTACCCTTAATCTGGATAGGTACCATCTAATCAGGTGCCATCACAGCTAGAATATAAAGCAGGCAGAAAAATGTGAAAAGGCTCGACTGGCATAGCCTCCCAGCCTACATCTTTCTCCTATGCTGGAAGATTCCTACCCTTGAACATCAGACTCCAAGTTCTTCAGCTTTGGGACTCAGACTGGCTTCCTTGCTCCTCAGTTTGCAGAGGGTCTATTGTGGGACCTGTGGCCATGTGAGTTAATACTTTTTAATAAACTCCCCTTTGTATATATATCTATCCTATTAGTTCTGCCCTTCTAGAGAACTCTGTTGAATACACTGGTGAGGTTTGTATTTTTAGTAGATTGGATTATAAGATATGTTGATTTTCACATTAATGGGCTTGCTAGCAGTTGTTCTCCTACTCAAGGAGAATTGCTGTTGTCTTTCCATTTATCGATATATTATTGTGGATGAATTATCCTTTCATATTGCTTATCATAGAAGTTTGGATCAGTTTTTACTTGAAGGATATACCATTTCATTGAAGACCACAAAAATGTAAGACAAACAAAGGGAACTCTAAGATACTCAATTGTTAGCAAGTTGAGAGTCATCTTTGTTTCTAGGTGATGCTGGCAATTTGTAGGTAAAACCACAACGAGTTTCAGTGTAACATTCATATTTCTGTTGTTTAACATTCACGGAATGATGGTAGTATTGTAAAAAGAGCAATCCATCAGAGAAACCTTGATGTCTTAGCCGAGGCCCCTTCCACCAGCTTTGTGCAAAAACAAAAATGAAAGTGTGAGGATCCTCTTAAGGAAGGTGTCTCCATTGTTGTATAACTGAAAGTCTCTCACTCTCAGGCCATGATTTCTTCTTGGTTATTTCATTATATTTTGCAAAAACCTTAATAGTGAGGACTAAATAAAAGTTTATCTGTTTGGGTCCCCCATTGTGAATCTATCTTATGGTTGAGATTTATTTCCTCAATTAGGCCTTTGAACATTAGTATATCACAGAGCTTAAACACAACTGCGTTAGGCATTTCCATTTAACACAGAGCTTTTAGTGTGGTTCATGATGAATATTTTGCATTTTCCTTTTTTCTAAAGACCTAGGGAATTGTTATATAAGTTGTTAGTAATGTGTCTGTAAGAACAAAGCAATGTGGCTTAAACAGCTCAAAATCATGCTATGAAAGCTCCACTCTATCTAATTCATACACAATTCAGCAGCATTTTCCTCTGCTTTCCCCTAGGAAAATGTGAAATATGATGCCATATAGAATCATAGATTGGTAATGCTAATATTTCTTCTTCCCCAAATTTACTTGGAAGAAATTAAGAACATTGGCTTAATGGTTACAGGATGAAAATTCTGGGCCCAGTTCCGTTGTTTTTTTGCTGTGACCTCAGACAAGTCATACAAATTCTTGGAAGCAAGGTTTCCTCTTTGCAATGGGCAAATCTCAAAGAATGTTGGCATCTACTTAACATTCTTCCAAGTTGTGAAAATCAAAGACAGTATTAGATGGCACTGTGTTTGAAAATAGGAATTTATGATCGTTAGAGAAATGGAACTCAAAACCGCAATGAGAAACTGTCTCACACCAGTCAGAATGGCTATTATTGAAAAGTAAAAAAATAACAGATGCTGGTGATGTTGCAAAAAGGAACACTTATACACTGTTGGTGGGAGTGTAAATCAGTTCAACCATTGTAGAAAGCAGTGTGGTGACCTCAAAGACCTAAAGATGAACTACCATTTAATCCAGCAATCTCCTTACTGAATAT